ATATAAATCAGAGGTTCTCAATCTGTGGGTCTTGACCCCTTGAGTCACCTAAGACCATTGGAAAACATAGATATTTACCAGTGGCAAAATTACAGTTATGAAGTAGCAACGAAAATAATTTTATGGTGGGGGGGGGTCACTACAATACGAGGAACTGAATTAAAGGATGGCGGCGTTAGGAAGGTTGAGAACCGCTGATCTAGAGCCTCTGTAAGCTAGGGTTTCCTTTTTCAATCTCACTCTCCTCCTCCTGTCCCCACTCGGGTGCGCACACTCCCTTTGGAACCCAGAGAATCCACAGCTGTCTTTAACCCAAAATCCTGCCAATTAAATAGTTCCTTCCGGCTCCAGTGGCGGCTGCTGACGTCGGGAAAAACGAACGCAGAGGCCGCCGCCTACGCGGGTGGAGCTGGGAGAGGCAGCCGCCTGCTCCTCGGAATGCCTGATGCATTGCCGTCCCTCTGTCCGCCCACATTGGACCCTGCTGAGACCCAAATACTCCAGCTTTGTGCTGATGAAGGAGGAGCACTCCACACCCCCACAAGACTTCCCAGTGTCACCCCCAAAGTCCTGAGGTCCCCAGCCCTGGTTCTCTGACACCTCTTGCTGACTCCCTAATTCCCCCCAGCCCTACAGGGCACCAATCTGATTCTTTGATCCACTTCTTGAGCCTTAGGTCTTCCACCCTTACTGAGCCCCAACCTGACTCCTCATGCCACCCCTAATCCCAAAGTCGCCTATGGGATCTAGACCCCACCCCAAGCCCCCCTCTCAAGACTGCAAGCTGTGCCCTTGACATGAGCACTAGCTTCGAGACTCCCACCCAGCGCTGCCCTGGTCCCCGCCCTATAGGCTGCACCCTCTCCACCCAGACTTCGCACTCTGAGCACCCCTGCACTCCTGTCCCTCGAGGTCCCCATGTTCTGTCCTTGGCTTTCCTGCTCAGAGCAACAACACTGCCTCCACAGCCAGGAAGATGTCGCCGTGGGAACCAGAAGGGGGCACATTAAAAGCAATTAGCCCGCGCGCAGTTGGCAGCGATACCTTAATAAATAATAGTCAGAAAGGCATGTAAATAAATATTAGAGCACATTATGCGGGCAGGAGGCGCGGCAAGGCAAGGGGGACCCGCAGGCCGGTGGCGACGCCTCCACCTCTGGAGACTGGCACAGGCCTGCGACTGCTAGGGATACCTGGAAGTCTGAGACCCCGGAAGCCTGAGATCTACGGCTAGGGGCTGAGCAGAGACGGAGAGTGAGACCAAGGGAGAAAGCCAAGAAGAGATAAGAAGAAAAAAAAAAATACAGAATGAGCCAGGCATAATGGTGCCTTTAATCTCAGCACTCAGGAGGCAGAGGCAGCCAGATCTCTGTGAGTTTGAGGCCAGCCTGTTTTACACAGTGAGTTCCAGAACAGCCAAAGCTACATAGTGAGACCCTTCCCCAAAACAAACAAACAAGACAAAACAAAACTGGAGTGAACTGGTCTGAGAGAGTGTGGAAGGAAGGCCTGGAGGAGACAAGAATCAGTGCCTGTCGTTGGCTAGCCTGGGCATCCCCCTCCTCCTTCCCTGCTGAGTCTCCTTGGTCTACGACATCTGCCCAGGCTCCCCATAAGGAGGCTTAGGGCTCAGCCTTTGGGCTCTCCGCTGCTCTCCTGTCTTGTGCAAGGGATAGCCATCAAAGGCTTCCTGCTTTAAATGCCATGTCTTGAGGGGCCTCTGTGTATCCCTCCAGCCAGATCTGCTCCTCCGACCTGGAGAAGAACACCTTTCTTGGGATCCCAACACACCCCACCCAGGTCTTCTGGTTCAGGAAACGGTAGCTTCCCTTTCTACCCTTGAGACAAAAACTTTAGAATCATTCCTGATGCCTCTTCTCTCACCAGTCTGTAGCCGTCAGATAACCTAGCCATCTCTGCCTTGGAGATGTTTCCAGAATCTCCCCCACTCCTCTGCTGCCTGGAGTTAGTGAAGCTCTTTTGGTTACAGCAGCTTTTCCTTGAGCTCCCTGCTCCTATCTTGACCTCTCTCTCACTGGCTCTCTGTGGAGCTATAAAAACAAGGAGCCAGGGGACCAGACCTCCACTCAGCAGGTTAGTGAAATGGAAAAATCTACTGTCTGTCCTTAAAATGGCCTGCCAGGCCCTGGAAATCCACCCCCACCTCCCTCCAGCCCTGACCTCACTCCCCTGCTCCAGCCCCCCTAGCCTCCTCCCTGTTCCTCAACCATGCCAAACCTGTTCCCACACTAGCACTCCAGCACTGGGTGTTCCCTCTCTCTGGAACATTCCCCAGATGGCATAAAGTATAGCCCCATTTTGCAAATTTGAAGGAAAGAGAGGGAGAATGGAGGTTGGAGGGAGGGGGATGATAAGAGACTCCCAGGTGGGACGGAACAGCACTGGGGCAAAGGCCAGGTGGCATGGGCACGTGCCCAGTGTGAGCAGGGCTAGGCTGGGATGCTCACTGGGTGGAGCTAGAGATGACTCTGAGGCTGAAGTGTGTGAGCCATCCCTTCACCAGCCTGGTACCCAGGTGGCAGAGGGCTGGACTGGACATTTGAAATGAAGCATCTCTACCAATACACCCCCAACCCTGGGGCATGGAGCCCCGACTCCACCTCAGGCCCCAGCTGGGAGTTGGACCCTGGTACTGCCGGCAGTACTGCCTGGGTAGGCCCCTGGTAACAGCCACAGTAATTACTGGTTGTGTGTGATTAGGGGATAATTATGCTTAATAAGTCCAAAAGTAATGACTAGGCAGGCTGCCTGCTGCTTTGGAAAACAGAGGCCCCCAGTGAGCTGGTGCCAGGGCTTTGAGAGGGGGAAGAATGGGCATTGTTGGGCATCCAGGTGCTGGCCCATTTCTCCTGCAGATGCCCACATCCTCTAAGCAATATCTTCACCAGGGCCTTGCTCACCTCCACAGACAGGGATCTCACTGTCCCACAGACAGCTCCTCCCACCACTGGAAGTCTACGGTCCAGTTCTGCGTATCATCTGCCTATGCCCACCTCCCCCTGACCCCTCTCCTTCCTTACTCAGGCAGCTTGGCATGGAAAGGGACACGGCCCTGAAGGATAGTCACTGCAGATATCACCATGAGTGTCTTACAGAACTGGAATTCCTTATCAGTCCCACTGCACTGATAGAGAAACTGAGGCTGGGGGGGGTGTCTAAGTTCATAACAGTAGAAGGGAGCAAAGTTGAAACCCCATTGTTATTTATAGCCAACCCCAAGTCTCTGCTTTCTGAGTCCCTCAGGATCCATCCAATCCATTTCCTAGAGACCCTGATCACCCTTTGTCTTTTTTTTTAATGCCAGTGCTAGACTGGTAGCAGGTGCCTAGCAAGCTCTACGGTACAATGAAAAGCACACCCTGGTTTTGCAGCAAAGTCTTTTGACCACTTTGGGCTTCCGTCTTCCTATCTGAGGCATTTCAACTCCTTCAGGCTAACTCCAAGGCCCGTGCTGGTCCAGGATCCCTGTGTCAGGTCCCAGAGAGACTCAAACACAGACACCTGGGATCGTTTCCTCCACTCCGAACTGAGCTGCCCTCTAACAACTCCTGGGGAAGGTGCCATAAATAGGACAGTGAGCAATACCCTTTTCTGGTCACACAGCCCTGCCCTCCCTCTACTTCAGATACCTGCCTTCAGCTCATGCTTAGAATTCAGTTTTCATCCTCATCAAATGCAGTGAAAGTTTGCAGGACTCCAAGAATATCATGTAAAAGTTCACTTCTATGATTATAGTCAGCTATGATGGTTCATAGGTTAACATTTCCTATTTGATGTCTGAGGCTCTAGGGGACCTAAGTTCATAGTTGTGGTAGGGAGCAGAGCCAATACCCCATAATAACCTACAAACAACCCTGAGCTTCTATGCCCTGAGCCCCTTAGAACCCATCCTATCCCCTTTCTTAGGCTCCCTTGTCTCCCAATATTTTTTCTCATGCATCAACCTTTGGGGGGCATGGATAGTGCTTTCTTTACTGTTCACTTTAGGCAGCAGGAATACAGGCAGTAGAAACGATTCTCCAAGATCACGGGGAATTCTACTTACTCTTCTGTTACTGTGAAGAGACACCACAACTAAGGCAACTTATAAAAGAAAGCATTTAATTTAGGAGTTTGTTTACAATTTCAGAGGCTGGGTCCATGTCTATCGCAGTGGGAGCATGACAGCAGGCAGGCAGGCATGGTGCTGGAGCAGTAGCTGAGAGCTTACATCTGATCCAAAAGTTGGAGTCAGGAAGAGAAAGACTGGGCCTGATGTGGGCTTTTAAAACTTCAAAGCCCACACCCAGTAGCACACCTCCTCCAAAAAGGCCACACCTCCTAACCCTTCCCCCAAACAGTTCCACCAACTAGAGACAAGGTATTCAAATAGTAAACTATAGGGGACCATTCTCATTCAGCCCACCGCACAGGATTAGCAAGAGACAGAACCAGGATTTGAACCTAGGTCTGATTCCAAAGCTTGTACCTATAACCACATCTCTGTACTTCCTCATGACCTCAGAGGTACCTGCTCTGGGATGTCAGATAAGAAAATGAGACAGGACCCAAGGGTGGAATCCACTGTTTTCCACAGCATTAGAGACGGAAGATTCCTCCCAAGCTATTGAAGCTTGCTGGCCCCACCCTGTGGTATCCTTCTTAGTAGATAGCTCGGCACAGCTCTTTCTCCACAAAAGAGGAATTCCCTCAGTATCCCCTGGAAAAGAAGAGTCTGTGGTCAATACTAACCTAGCACCTTCTTGTGCCATTGTGGGGCAGTGCACTGTGAGGAGAGGGAGCACCTGAGAAAAACTAGGACATTTCAGCTCCCAACCACTAAGCCTGGAGGCCGAGGAGATGGGTAGAGCAGGAACTGCCTCACTTAGCTTCTGGGGACCTCGAAGGACCACTCTCACAGGACCAGGAGCTCCCATCGTATGAATAAGTTGCTGCTACTGTAAAACTAAGGGAACAGACTGTAAATCTGAGCTTTTAGTCATTTATATGAAATAAATAACACTAGCAAACAGTGATCCACAGGAGAGGTGAAATAGAGTTGGAAGGTATAAATGCCTCAAAAAGTTCATAGTGATCAAAAATGGCATCTGATATTGACCTGATATTGATTAGTGGGGTTCTAAACCACTGCCCCCAAAAGATTTTTCAGCATCCAGAGACAGGCACTGAACCCAGAGGATTCTGGCTCATGGGGTGAGATGTGAAGTCTGGGAGGCATAGTATTAAGTTGGATGCCCCCCCCCCCCGCAAGGCCCACCCACCCCTAAGTATTCGTAACAGCTGTTCCAATCAGAGCTGGAGTTGGAGACCACTGCCCAGAGAAGCATAGCGTTTCAGCACCATGGACAGAGAGGAAGCCTTGGCTCTAGGGGCAAACAGTCACTCTGGCAATGCACGGGGCTCTTTAAAAAAAATAAAAATAGGATTGGGCAAATAGATCAGCTGGTACAGTGCTTGCCTACCACATACAAGAGGTCCCAGATCTGATGCCCAGAACCACATAAACTGGACATGGTGGCACACACCGGTAATTCCAGTACTGGAGAGGTAGAGACAGGAGAATCAGGAAAGTCACCCTCAGCTGTACAGTACATTGAAGGCCAGCCTGGGTTACATGAGACCCAAGTCTCAGAAAGAAAAAAAAAAGATTAGTTAAATCCTTTAAAGTAAAGCAATAGTCAGGAAGATGTGGGGGCTTCTCACATTCCTCTCTGATGTGCAGAAACGCAGATATGAGCTATGTGATTGCTTGAGCCCAAGTCTCGAGGGGGGGGGGAGTTGTGTTTATTTGATAACATAGGAGAAAAGAATGAGAAGGTGGGCTAGCCTTGGCCTGGAAAGCCTACAAAACACTCTTGAGTCTCCCTCTAGGTGACAGTGTAGTCTTGGGAACGTCATTCCCTTCTCTGGGCCTGTCCGTGACATTTCTGGGCCCTGTGGTCAGTGGTGAGAAAAGCTGGCATGCAGCGTATTTGGTTCCAGATCTCTCAAGTGACGAAAACCACTTTTTCCGTCTACTCCACTCATCAGGATCTTGAACAAATGAGTCATCTCAAACGAGTACTTCTCAAACTGTGACCTCGACAACAGGAGCGCCCCAAGACAGGTGTTTCATGAATGCAAAGAAAGAAGGGGAACTGCAGGCAAAATAAGTCTGGGGATCTATGGGATTATTATTTCTGAGACAAGAGCAGGAAGGATTCAGTGTTCCCAATCTTCCTCCCATGGAACAATTACAGGAATAAATAACATGTAGTGAATTTCCCTTAAGGGCCAGGCACTGTACTCTCCTAGGAAGAAGGTACTATCACTGTTCCCATTTTGCAGAGAGGAAAACTAAAGTACAGAACAACAAAGGACTTGCCCAGAGTCACACATTCAATGTACTACAAAGCAAAGATATGAACCCAAGTGGGCAGGCTCCAGTGTCTATACTTCCTACAGCTTGGCTCAACTGCCTGCCCCAACTCCAGGACTTGAAGAATAGTAGCCAGTGTGGGAAGTGTTGGCCTAAATGCATGTCTGCTTAGCTCTGGGTATTTTGAGCAATGGATTTTTTTTCTTTCCCTGTAATTTTCCTTTGGGTTGATGTTTAGATTACGGGCAAATGGAGGCAGGCCCAGATGGTGGCTGGGAGGCAGAAGGAGCCCTGTGGGCTTTTGAACTAATTAATTAATTTTAATTAAGATTGGCTTTGCGGCACGTGACATGGAGAACTGCTGATGGGGGCGAGAGAAAGGAGAGGAGAGAGAGAGGACACAGGAAGGGTGGAAAGAGAGGAGGGGAAATAAAGGGATGGAGGAGAAAGGGGGACAGATGTTGTGGGTGGGAAGGAAGGGGTTGGAGTATGAAGAGACAAAGACAAAAAATGCAAAGAAGAAAGAGAGAGAGAGAGAAGCTGTTACTGATTCACAGAGCCCTCTCTAAAGAGAGGCAAATGAGGAAGCCTCCCCTAGGATCATGGACTCAGGACACTTCCTGTCCCAGCTTTGTTTTCTCAGCCAAGAGCAGCTGAAGGGTGTCCTTCGTGGCAACAGGTGAGACCCTTGTCAGCACAGGGCTCTTCCGAGATGCCTGGGGCAGGTCCTGAGCCTGGCCCTGCCGGGAAGCACAGGACTCTTAGCCCTTCCCTCCCTTGATGCTCATTCTGGCCCAGCTCCTCACCAGGTACTTCTCTGTGCTGTTTGCTGGGGACCAGCCTGCTCCTGTCACCCACCACTTGCAGCCTCCGCTGCTCTCCTGTTCTCTGCCTGGACTTCAAAAGAGCCTGACACAATTTCTCTGCAGCCATCCCTCGCCTGTCAGGTGGCTCAGTCTGCACAGGATTCAGCTCTGCCTCATATCTTTGAGTTTTTTTTTTTAATGAACCCTGGATGCTGCCTCTCTTCATATGGGAGCATAGATAGGCACAGGGACAGAAAACTGAGTGTTACTGGTGACATTTCAACCACTAGGCTGAGCCTCAGGGCTTCCTTGAGGGCATCTGGATAATATAATCCCAATGTCCTAAGCCTAATGGACTCCAGCCCCATCCAAGCCGGCCCCCACCCTCATCGCAGGCCTCTCCAGCCCCCCAGGAGGAAATTTGGGATGATGTTGCCATGGCAACCATGGTACCAGAAATTGCTGTTCGTTATGCTCAGGGGATAGAATTATATGACCTGGAATCAAAAACATGCAAGGCAACTGACATTATGGAAAGAACAAAGTTGCTCTCAAAACAGAGGGACTCAGGAAGAAACACACACACACACACACACACACACACACACACACACACACACACACACACCTTTGCCGGGCCTTAGCAGGTCCTCCATGTTAAACGGCACACCTGCTGAGTTTGGGGGAGCCTGATTGCCAGGCATATTCTTAGAGTCAGCGATGCCTCAGGAAGCACAGAGCAAGCCAAAGGCATGAGAGGCTCTCTGGAACTACCACCCTCCTAAGCAAGGTGTGGAGGTCAACAGGGAACCCAGAAACTCTGCCTTAGATCATGACCCTTTGCCAGAAGCCAGGAACACCGGCTAGCCTCCTATGAAGGATGTTATCCTCTGTGGAGTGGACTGGCAGGACCCCAAGCCATTTTGCCACCCGCCCACTCCTCAATGCAGCCCTGGTCTGACCCAGCCTCTATCTATGTCCAGGAATCCCAAAAGTATAGAAAAATCAAATCTGGACACAAGAGTTCATCTGGGGAAAAAAATGCATGACTTAAATACTTTTTCCTCCCTGAACTCTATTTTCCAACTTATAAGTTTTTTATATTTTTGTGTGTTTGGGTATTTTGCTACATGTATGTCTATGTACTACATGTGTACCTTGTACCTGTGGAGGCCAGAAGAGGGTATTGGATTTTCTCAGAACTGTAATTACAGATGTGTGAGCCACCATGTGGGTGCTGGGAACTAAACCTGGATCCTCTGGAAGAGCAGCCGGTGTTCTTAACCTCTGAGTCATCTCTCCTACTCCCACTTGGCATCTTAAGACAGCATGTATCATAGTTTACAATAGTCAGTAAGGCCTACACAGAAGGACAGAAGGCCCCCACAGGCCACAGAGAGGGAGGCTCTGACGTCCATGTTCGAATCTTGATTTTCCTTCTCCAGCCATGGACTTTAGGATTTTCTCCAGCTTCCCATCCTGTGCTGTTCTCATACGGAGGAGGTGTTGATGTCTACAATAGAAGCTAGAGAGAGAATGGAATGAGTCAAGGTCCTAGAGTACTCAGCATGGGCCCTGACACACAGTAGGTACTCAGCATGGGCCCTGACACATAGTAGGTATGTAGGGATTTTGTTGTTGTTGTTGTTTTAAAAAGGAGCTGTTAGCCAATTCCTTATGGCCATCGTGTGCAATTAGGGCAAGATGTCATAGCCCTCCTAGACCTCGGTATCTACATCTTAGTCTGCAAAAGTGCTCTCGCCCCTCCCCCTCCCCCGTGTGTGTGTGTGTGTGTGTGTGTGTGTGTGTGTGTGTGTGTGTGTGTGTGTGTGTGTGTGTTGGTCTGTTTCTCTCTATGTGACTGTCGCTCCCTGTGTGTCCATCTCTATCTGCGTGCGTCTCTGTCTCTGACTCGGCCTCTACCTGTCTTTCCTAGGGGGCCTCCACTTCATCTGGAAGGTCTGCCTCTCCCTCCTCTGCCACCTGCCCCCATCCTCCACATCCCAGGTCCCCTGGGCCTTGCCCCTAAGTGGCTCCAGAATTCCCAGCAGCGTCAGTGCTCCGACAGCTGGACCACCTCTCCCTTCCCTCAGCATCCAGGAGGTCTGTCCCCTCCACCTTGGCCAAGGCTTCTCTGGCCCCTGTCACTTGATTTTACAAACCAGTGGACCTATACTGCTTTCTGGGTCGGGCTGCCACCCTCTTCCCGAAGTCAGGAACATCTGGGCACACTCAGCCCGCCGAGCTGGCTTCTGCACTGCAGCCTGGGGGCGAAGAGAATCTTCAGATGAGTCAGCCCCACCAGGCCTGGTGTCAGACAAGCTTCACCTTGATGATGCCACCCTCCTTGGCACCTAAGATGCAGAGAAGAGCCGAGCAGGCAAGAGAACAATGAATAGTTTTTGTAAGAGCCAGAGGCACTGAAGTCCTGACGGGGTGAGGTTAAAGGGGGAGAGAGTGGGCAGGGGAGAGGAAGCAGGCTTGAGGGGTGTCAGTACTGTGAAGGGGGTCACCATGAAGGCCTGAGCCAAAGCCATCCTCCCTCCACCTTCTTGCCCTACCCATCTCTTCTTTGAATTTCAACTTCTCTCCTTTCTTTTCTTTCTCTTTCACATTTCCCTTTTCCCTCCTACCCCTTCCTTCTCTCTTCATCTCCCCTCACAGTTCATTTCTATTGTTCAATCTCTTTTAATCTACTGTTTCAAGTGATTTTTCCTGTGGTTCCTTGTTCTGTGCTGAGTCCCATGCTGGGTACTAGGACCTTGGTCTACACTCTGGCCATGACAAAGCTTCCCTCACTATTCTAATCATGCAGAGACTCCTAGCAGATCCAGGTCCGGCTTCCCTCTGAGAGAGCAGGTTTTCCGAGAAGAAACCTTCCATCAAAGATTGAGACTCTGGTCAACAGGTATGGCCTGGAATGGTGTCCAGGCAGAAGACACATGTGCGAACGAGCGGGCAAGTGTGGCCTGGAACGGCTGGAGTGAAAGTGTGGCCCTGCAGTATCAGGATCACTTGCTGTTTGTTCTGCTCTTGGGCACTTTGGTAACTTCCCCCTCAAGGATGTGGAAACTGAGGCTTGAGGAGGTGTGTCACCTGCCTGATGGCACCTGGCCAGTACAGGGCAGAAGTGGGACTCAAATCTAGACACAAATGATCTTGGAGCAGTGATCACGCCCCTTGACTGCGAGAAGCAGCTCAGGGGTTCTCAGAGCAACTGAATCCCTGAACCCTGAGGGAGAGATAGGAAGGCTGGCTGACCCTCAGCACCTGCAAGCTGTATTATTCTCCCGTAACTCGTCAAGAATAGCTGATATAGGACCTGCCTGCCTGCCTGTTCTCCCCGATTCCCTCCTTCCCTCCCCCTCTCCCTTCCTGCCTCCTTCCTTCTTTCCTATCCTTCCTTCTTTTCTTCTCTTTTATTGATACAGCATCTCATCATGAAGCAGCCCCAGGCTGTACTCAAATTCTGAATCCTCCAAAGTACTAGGATAACAGGTGTGGCGCAAGCCTAGTCTTTCTGTCAGACACTCAATGCTGTTACTTCTCAGGACTGACCTGAGGACCATCTCATCCCTTTGGCGGGCCTCATCTTCCCCCTTAGCCTCTACCTGGTCCTGCACTCTCTCCCCTTACCCCTTGCCCCCACATTACACCTCAGCTGTACCGTCAGTCTCCCTCCATCTCTTCTCTTGATTCACCTCTTCCCATCATCCCCCACCACTTCTCCCGCTCTTCTCCAGGTTAGCTAATTGGTTGGTAAAGTAATGATTGATTGATTGATTGATTGATTGAATGAATGAATGAATGAATGAATGAATGAGTCTCAACAGATTTCTAGGCAGATTGATTGACTCTCAACAAACTTCTAGGCAGTCTATAGAACATGTAGAATTCAAGCTCAACTATGATCCAATCTGTGCTTAGGGGTGCCCAGACTCAGCCCAGGAGCTGATGCCAATAGCCCCAAGTCAGAAGAGGGAGCAATGAACCAGCCCAGGGTGGTGTCTTCCAAGAGATAAGCTGACCTCACCGAGACAGACTAGAGGCGATGTGCTCCTTGTGCGTTCCCAGAAGTGTCTGAAGGGCAGACCCCAGACCCATACTGCCATCCCCACTGGCTTCCCAGTGGGAACTGAGGACATCAGCAGGTGACAGCTGGACTTTCCTATACAGTCACTCACCAGGTGACAGTTGGATACCTCCTATCCTGTGACAGCTCAGATACCCAGACCTGGGTATACACAGGGGGAAGAATGGACCCAGGATTTGCCCCTACAGAGCTCCCTTTGGCAAGATCCTAACCCAAGGCAAATCTCAACATCTATTCTACACCCCCTGCTTATGGCCTGCCTCCGCCCTGCTGTTCCTAGAGCCCTGTGCCCAGGGGCATGCCTCATCTGGTTCTGTGAATGCTCTGCCTCCTCCTTCTAGTCACCAGTCATTTTCCATGCACCTCTGTTCCATCCACTGAGAACTCACCCCCCTCCCAACACGTTTGGGTGCAAGTCCTCACCTGACAATTTACTAACTGTATAGCATCAGAATATTTACTGTCTTTCTGTGCTTTGGTTTCCTAATCCATAAAATAACGGTAGTTCTTGTTTCCTAAGGGTGAGGGTGAAATGGATGAGTCAGTAACCACAAAGACAAACACTTAGAATTGAGTGTGGACCTGGAAGTGATCCAATAGGAATAACTGAGGTAACATGGGTACCAATGATCGATCTTGCAAGCCATTCTCAGGGTAAAGCTCAGTCCATCCAACACCGAGTAGCCATCCCTAAGCACTGCCATTATGACACCCCAAGTCACGTCCATGTTCTCCTAGCAGCCCTTCCTTGGAGGAGGGCCCCAAATTGTCTATAATTGCATTTCCATTTCCAGTAGCCATGGGAGTGCAATCCATCTGCCTTTCACTGTCCTGATGGTGGAATCTGCCTCTGTTTTGTCCTCTCCCAAGGGTTCTTTCCAAGCACAGGTCCTGGTCCTTCCAGAGGAGGTCAGAAAGTATTTGTCAAATGAGCAAAGGAACCAGTCGAGTGAAAGCTCTTGGAGCCAGGCCATCTTGCCTCCTCCTTGAAGACAACCTGAGCATGAGTCACAGCAGAAGAACCTCGGTCTGATGTGCAGAAGCCTTCAAAAGGCACGTTAACTGCTGTGCTGCGGTCTCTTGAGAGAACGCCAAAGGGTGGGAGTTAACTCGTCATCCAGACCAAACAGCTTCGAATCGTCAGCTCTCCCTCTTGCCTGCCCAAGGCCCTCGGGAAGCAGGCCAGCTGCTGCTGGGGCAGAAGGCCAGACTGAAACTGCTGGCCCGTTTTCCTGACCCGGAGGCCCAGATGTGTGCTTGGGACCCTCACCCACTAAGGGAAGGATCACCTAGCCAGCCACAAGGAGTGTGCACTCCTGATGGACAGGCGAATGAAGAATCTTGGCCTCTTCCATGATCCATACAGGTGCCCTGAAGTCCCCTTGAGAGGCATCAGGGAAGAGTGATAAGGAGCCATGCCCCCACCACTGCCACAGTTTACTACATAATCCAGCTAATGAGGGTCTCCTCCTCCCATTCTTGATAAACGCGGAGAGCCTGTAAGGAACCGAGAGGAACTCAGCTCTGCCCAAAACTGATCTTTCCCTCACAGTGTCTGGCCATCTTGCTTCACGTTCTCAGAGGACACCAAGATGTTGGCCGGGGAAATACACACAAAGACCACCTGGGCCAGGCTGTCCAAGGTTAGAACTGCTGCAGGCTTCGCTTGAGCTGACTGGACTCTGGACAGTGGAAGACAAGACGGCTTTTAGATAACCGGAAGTCGGGACACCCTCTTCTCAAAATTGTGTGTGCAGCACCCTCTCCACCACAAATGATGCCTTTCTCCTGGCCCTCGGGGTGCCTCACTTTATAACTCTCATAAGACATCTTCCTTTAGGCTGTTCTGTGTGAATTTCATTGTCTAATGTCCCTCAGAGAGCTGTCAAGATCCTCATAGCCGGGAGATACACTCATTTCTGTGTTCCTAGCAACGGGAGGCACTGTAACTCATAATAAACACTGAACACCTGCTGGCTTGAGACTTGGTAGTGGTGGTGGTGGTGTTTCTTGGGGGAGGGGATTGTTTGTTTGTTCATTTGTTTTTGTTTTTGCTTTTGCTTGTTGTTGTTGTTGTTGTTGTTGTTTTCAGACTAACCTTAGCCAGTACTTGAAAGTACCATGTTGCACAAACTCTGTAACTTCTCTGAGTTTGTTCTCTCATCCATAAAATAAGAACAAAATGCTAGGCATGGTGGTACATGCCTATAACCTAGCATTCATGTAACCTTAGTAATCAGGAGGGTAGCAAGTTCAGTCTGAGCCACGCAGTGAGGCTGGCCCAAACAGAAGAAAGCAAACTGAAAAAGCAAGACTACTAGAAAGCTTTCTGCTTCTACGGTCATTTTGAGGATTCCATGAAAGTATGCACATGAGGTACTTGACACCACACCTACCACAGGTAAAGATGCCGGCAACACTAATAATTGATGGTAGCGCTCTGCGGCTGAGATGGGACAATGGCGATGATGATCGTGAAGATGATGAAGATGATAATGATGATGACTAACAATGCTGGTGGTAGTGATGGTGGCATACAGGTAACAGAGGTGAGGAGTACAGCCAAGCTGGTGGTGGCGATGGGGTGGGGGATGATGTTGATGATGGTGGTGGTGCATGATGGGGAGACATGAACAAATGTCTACTTTTACTCCAGATAGGGAACCAACGACAGACCAAAGTGTGGACACCGCCAAAGTCCAACCTGGTGACCAATGAGTTTTATTGGAGTTACCTACAGGAATATGGGTAAGAGATTAGTTACAAGAGCAGAAATGACTCAAGGGCCACATCACCAAAGCCCACCCCAGCAGGTGTAACAGCCCACCAAACTGGAAACCTGGAGCTCACCGCACAGCCTACAGGCAGCTCAACAGGTTGGAGTGTGTCTTTTCCAGGTAGTTAGGTTTGTCTTGAGAGTCTCTCCACAAGTCTTACTATGTAGTGCATCTGGTCAGTTTCAGGAGCTTCCTGAAGCCATTGAGTTGTTTATTTCCTGAGCTTAAGGAACCTCCTTGCAGGATGGAATGTTTCACCTCTCTTGAATGTCCTGTGTCTTAAGGAGCCTCCCCCCTACAATGGAAGGTTTTCTAGAAGGAAACTGCTACCCAACAGTGATGGTGGTGATAGTGGTGGTGTTAATGATGGTGCTGGTGTTGATGGCAGAGGTAATGGAGTTGGTAATAACCATGGTATGACGGTGGTGGCTATACTGGTGATGCTGAGTGGCAATGGTGGGGACATCGATGCTGTGACAG